TMTAGTTAACTGAWAAATATTTRYATGTRCTGTGTTCTWTTTGSTRTTATTTGTCTCTGTAMGCGATTTGGAACCAATCTGATAATATTTATTATATTTACAGGCGTTTTAAAACCTACGTATAAAACTACTTTTCTTGGGCTTCCTGTGTTTTTAAAAGATGGCGGCAAAAAAGAAGTTCAACATTCCAACAGTTGATGAATTAGAGGAAAAAAAGACCCCACAAATCGCCTCTAAGAGAGTATTTAAGCTCTTTCGGAGGGTAAATGATACCAATAAACCTGCTGGTGAAGAAGAGAGCTCTCGAAAAGATGATATTCATGAAAAAAATAGTGTAAATAAGGAAACAAGTAAACAACGTGAAACATGTCAGTCGAGAACCAACTTAGAATCAAGCGAGCAAAATTTGGTAAAACAAGTCAGTAGTTCCTCAGATAAAGCCGTCACGAGTTGCACTACAGCAACCACAAACTTTAGTACCGCAAGTTGTAATAAAACTGGAGGTGACTTGACAYCGAGGGACGCAGAAAATAATGTGGGAAAGTCATTCAAAGACACRTTTGCTTTTCTTAAAAATACTCGACATTATGAAGAAGCTGAAGCCAAAATGAAGGAAATTGAGTAAGTGATTTTAGGGACCATTAATAGTTTATAGGTTAGGTGGGAGTCTATGTTGAGTTTTAAATTTTTTGGTAGCACCCTAACCCTCCCCCCTCTGGCCTCACTTCTCACCTGCCTGCCTGCCTGCCTGCCTGCCTGCCTGCCTGCCTGCCTGCCTGCCTGCCTGCCTGCCTGCCTTATTCTTGCCTGCCTGCCTGCCTGCCTAATATTAATATGGGGTAAAATTTTCAACCACTCAGGTCTAATAAATCTGCAGCCAGCAAGGTGAAGCCCACCATCCCCAGTAAACCAAAACCAAATGCTATACAAGTCAACCCAAGACAGGTAGGCTTTATGCAATGGGTTTGAAAATCGGCCCAACATATCTACACCTTACAGTGGAATTTCATTATCTTGAACCTTTAAAGTGCAAATAAACCCTTCGATAATACTTTCAGTACTGATTYTACATGAAGTAAATAGTTGAATGGTAAAATATTTCTTGATTTGACTGATGCATCTCTAAGTTTTCTATTCTTAGTTGAGCGTCCTTATAAATATATTAATATACACACATGACTGTAACCGAATAACTAATAAGTGAATCATTACGGTACGAAAGTATGGTAAGTGGTCGGTAAGTGGTCAGCAAGGTAACGGTAAAATACAGTCGGTAAGGTAACGATAATGAGCCTGAAGCGAGATGACGTTTTACCCCCGTCTCTAGACCATAATCCTTTTCACACTGCTTTTGTTCTTTAATTATGACTATGGTTCCTGTATTCTCTAAGGAACCAAAAATTTTAATATGAAAGAATTATAAAAACTATTATGGTATAGATTCAGGGGTAAAACGTCATCTCGCTTCAGGCTTATTAAGGTAATGCATGGTAATGGTACATGGTCAGCCAACTGAGTTACAGACCATTTACCGTATGGTGCAGATTGTTCAGTATTACTCTTCCCATAATGTCCCCCCCCCCTCCCCCCTGATGTTAATTCTTACTTTTTTTGTCAATCAAAGAAAGGTAACCCAGTGTTGAAATTCATTCGTTGTGTTCCCTGGGAGTACAGTGATATTATACCTGATTATGTCATGGGTGCAACAACATGTGCATTGTTCCTAAGGTATGTGTTGCCAAACTACCGTACACTACTGTACACTACCGTACACTACCGTACACTACTGTACACTACCGTACACTACCGTACACTACCATACACTGTAAACTACATTGTTAAGCCTCATTCACACTTAAAACAAGACCGAATGCAAATATATTGTTTCCAAAAAAACTATGCAATGTATCACTTTAAAAGGGGGGTCGTGGCCCAGTCGGCCTACCCTTAAATCTGCCCCTGAGATCTATAAATTTAGATCTTCAATTTGGAGCCATGTTGTTTCGTGGTTTCTGCAATTCCTTTTTTTTCAATATTGTAAATCTTTTTCTTGTATTTTTTTTATTCAATTCAGCTTACGCTATCATCACTTCAATCCAAACTACATCCATGATAGGCTGCGACTTTTGGGRAAAAGTTATGAACTAAGAATTCTTTTAGTACTTGTTGATGTTGTAAGTCTTAAACAGTTTTAATTTGATTTATAATAGTTTAGGATCATTACTCCCCTTCTGGTGCTTTTCTCTGAAGTTTGCTTTCCATTAATACATACAATAATAATATTCAATAATCCTGTTCGAAGTTCCCTGCACCATCTCGAAAGGTAGCCGTGACTTTGCATCGAAACGAAACAAACTGTGAGCTTGCAATGATAGAGAATCTTTTAAACACCTTGGACAATTATTCATGTGTTTCTATCTTTGCAAGCTCACCATTCATYTCACTTCRATGCAAAGGCACGGCACAGGAGAGAACTCAACTCTCATGTGCAGTGTGGGTTTTTGCGTTATTTATGTCATACATGCGGCRAAGGAATTTTTTAAACTACTCTAATCATAAATCTCACTTTCTGATTGGTGGATGTGCATGCTTTATGAGACCACACAGCATGCAYAGATTTTCTTCTTTTTTCCATTTGTTTTGAAATGCTTCTTTTATATTAGAAAGACCCTCATCAAACGTTAAGAGAGTTAGCCAAGATGGCTATCATGGCAGATCTTACCATGATGTTAACATGGAGGTAAGTAAAGTAATATTGATATGATGTTAGTTTGATGCGACCTCTATTCTATTATCATTACAAACATCAACATCATCATCATCATCATTATTATCTCCATCATCAGTATCATCTTCCTCATCATAACCATGATCATCACCATTCTCATCATCATCATCATCGTCAATCATCATCATCATGGATCATCAATACTATCATCATTATCTTCATCATCATTATCATGATCATGGTCAATCATCTTTGTCAATCATCTTCATCAATCCTCATCACTATACAATCATCATCATTATCAACATCACTATCATCATCACCATCATGGTCATCATTATCATCATCACTATCATCAATCATAGCAGCATCACCAACATCACCACCATCCTCTAAGTCATCAGTCAAGAGAAGAGCACATTATCTTTTTACWTATATTTATGTATTTTCTGTTGACAGCTCAGAAGAAGCTGGCAAATATTTAGAAACCTACAAAGTATATGAAAATAAGCCGGTTGATGCGTTACAAGGGCAAAATGATGGTGATCATTTCTCTAAAGTAAGTACTTTGTTATGATGTTGATGTGGATGATTTGGATAATGATGATGGTGGTGTTTCTGATAATGATTGATGATAATGATGATGGTGGGGTGGTGATGATGATGATGGATGATGATGATGATGGTGGTGGGGTGGTGATGATGATGATGGATGATGATGATGATGATGGTGGGGTGGTGATGATGATGATGGATGATAATGATGATGGTGGGGTGGTGGTGATGATGATGATAATGATGATGGTGGTGCTTGTGGTGATGATGATGGTATCGGGAAAGACAACGTTGGTGATGTTAATGATGATAAAGATATTGTTGGTATGATGATAATAATAGCGTTTGTATGATGATGATGATTGATGACTGATGATATTGAAGATACTACTACTTAATGATCACCATCATCTTCCTCCCTTGTGATCACATGTACGCTTAACAAATTCCCTTTTAAAATCCATTTCAGCTTCAAGATTGCCTAACGACAGTTAAAGGCATAAACAAGACTGATGTCCTAACCTTGAACTCTACATTCGGGGTTCGTATCATCAAACTTGACTGCCATAACTTCTCGTTGCATGTTACTAATGTTACATATATTTCTAGACTCTAGCAGAAGTAACGAAAGCTCCAAAAGATGATCTAATATTCCTGCCTGGCTTTGGTCCTTTGAAAGTAAGCTCTCTCAATACACTGAAATCTTAACTGTTTTATTTTTCGCATGAAAAAGCGCGCGGAAAAAAATTAACTAAGGAATGACGTGAGCGTTTTAATGTTGGTCAATGAGAGATTGTGTTAAGCCCTGGCTAAACGAGGAAACATGTTTACCGCGCTCATGTTTCCTCGATGTTTCCCAGTTTAGCCACATRCGAAACATTGCTGCGTGCAACAAATTTTGCTTCCAAGACGCATAAAATGTTTTTGCTGTGCGGCAGAAACATTTCATGTTTCCAAGACGCATGGAAACATTGTTTTCCGATGTTTTCTGACAGTTTTGCCACCTTAGGAAACATTTAGGGAAACATGTTTCCTCGTTTAGCCAGGGCCTTAGAACGAAGTCATCTGCCATCAAACCCATTTTCACGTAACAAAAAAAAACAACTACAAAACAGATAACATTTTGTCGTTTTTGACTCTCTATCAGGTATTGGGTGAATGTTTTCAGCCAATTATTAGCGAGTTAATGAATAGATCGTAGGTCATAATACTGAATATTTGTTTACTGCAGGCCAAGAGGCTTCACRGCATATTCCATGAACCATTCCTCGCCAAGAAAAAGAAATCAGAGGACGATGTTTCTACGGCGAACACTGGTTAAATTTATGGGATGAAGGATGGGGTTTGGAAGGGGAGGGGAGGGAAGGGGGATATTGTAACAAGATAAAAATGTTGAATATATTTT